TGATTGTCTTTCCTAAGCCACAGGTGAAGTTCATCCAGCATAAATTGCAGAAAAAAATTTGTATGTTTTGAGTTTACTCGCTCTATTTTGTATTAAATGGGATTTTTTATTGAATTGATTGTAGTGAGTTATTTATTCCTAAAAATATACTATACTCCTTACATCTCACAAAAACATCTTACCTTTCTTTTTCATCCACCCAATAAAAATCTGTACTTTTTTTTATAAAAAAGTCGTTACAAAATTTATCTCCTCTCAATCAATTGTAATAATTACTTTTATATTTTCAACATCTTTCTTACATTTTGTAAAAGTTAAACTGAGAAGGTTTTATGAGATTAAAATTACTACTCCCTCCATCCCATTTTAAATTACATGTTTGCCTTTTTTCTCCGTCCCAAAATAAGTTGCATGTTAGTTGTTTTCGTAAACTTTTAAAAATAAATACCTAAACTATCCCTAAAATAAGTCACTCTTCTTCACCTTATCTTCTCATTCATCATCACCCCTTCTAAAAAGTAATGGCAATTTCGAAAACTCAACTCTATTCTTTATTTTCCTTAAATATGCCCAAAAATCAAAACATGCGATTTAAATTGGGACGGAGGGAGTAAGTTATATTTATTGTATAAATCATTAAGGAGTACTTTAAAAAAATCATTTTAATTATTTGAATGATTATTTCACATAAAACTTATTACTCTTTTTGTCTGAAACTAAATATCTGTTTATTATTCACATAGTTAAACTTTATTTTTTTATGCATTTTGTTACTCATTTGATAAAATAATACAATTATGTCATAGATTTTTTATTTAGTTTTTAAATACCCAGTATGTAAACTTTATGTTTCATTACCAGCACAATTTTCAAATAAAATTATATTGAAATTAACTTTAATCAATTATCGAAAACTGAAACAGAACATTTAATTCATAACCCAAGGAGCATGTGGAAGAAACCATAGATCCGCCATTTTGTCTGTGGAAGAAAGTTCATGAGTGCTTCCTCGAAACCCGGTTCTAGGCTGCCCCTAGTACTTTTTAATCTTAGATCCGCCATTAGTTAAGAGTTGGTTTCAATGAGAATGCGGGCTTTGTTTTACACGCTTGAATTACAACCAAAATAACATTTAAACTTTAACGATAGATAATTGTACAAAAAATGATATTTTATGCAATTGGTCAAGCGGTCAGAAATCAATAGGGATGGCAACGGGTCGGGTTTGGGCCGGATAGTACTATACCCGAACCCGACCTGACTTCTAAAACCAAAACCCGAACCCGAACCGAAACCCAACTTTTACCTAATAATGAATTCGACGTACCCCAATAATTTTAAAAATATTAAATATAACTTTTTTGTCTCTTTTTTTGTTTCATTTTTTATTAAGCAATTATTAAAATGATTATAAAAGGCATATTTGATATAGGGCCTGTTTGGGAATAGCTTTAGAGATTAGCGTTAGCGTTTTGAAAAGGCTATCTACGGCCAGCGTTTAGCGTTAGCGTTTTCAAAGTAATTTACACCGTTAAAATCTTATCCAAAACACTAATGCTAATCTCTAACGCTATTTCCAAACAGGCCCATAGTAGTGATAAGTACATTTTGTACTTATTATTTTACTCATATTTAAATGTTTTATGTATAAATAAATTTAATTTAAAATAAAAATAATGATTTTTCTTTTGTAAATATGTCAAAGTTGTCATTTTGTTTATAAAAAAGTGTGTTAAAAACAAATTAGGAGTTTTTAATTAAAAAATGGTTCAAATAGAGTAAAACTTTAAGGAATGAATTTTTAGGAAAGGTTAAGCTCAATTTCGTCCAAAACTCCATAAGGGAAAAATGTTCAGCACAAAATGAGGAACTTGTCACACAAATTTGAAGTCAAACGGCGCGTAGGTTGGGTGAGGCGACCTGCCGGGCGGCTGCCCCGAACCCCGCCCAGGATTTAAGCTTCAAATCAACGGCCAATGGTTTTGGGCGAAACCACGTGCGAGAAAACCGGGGGTCGCGCTGGGGCGACTTGCTGGGCGGCCGCCCAGAGCCTGCCCCGAAAGATTTTTTGCCTATAAAAGGCGCGGCTCGGATCCTCAACTCATCATCATCTCACATTCTCTCCTCTCCTCTCTCTAGTGGCGAAATCCACACAAAAAATATTCTTTAGTTAAATTTTTAGAGTTTCGTTTCCAGATCTGTTCCTATTCCGCTTTTCTAGAAGTTGTAAATTTCTTTTTATAATGTAATAAAATCTTCTGTTATTTAAATTATTTACTTTTTACTGTTATTATGTCTTTTGAAATATATTAGGGATATGAATTGAAATTAGGGTTGTGGATATGTAGGAAGAATAATTAAGTTGGAATATTATATATAATTAATTAAAATGCTAGGTTGTTAGAAATTGTTTTATTACTTTAATTAATTAATCTGGCCAATTTATTAGTTAATATTTGAAAAATTATTATGTGCATTTGTCTATGAATGAGAAAAATAATTTAGTCCATCACTAGCACATTAATTATGCCTAGAGATTGGATAAATTAATGGAAAAGTTGTGACAGAACTAATCACCAGTCTAATTAATTAATTAATTTAATTATCCAACTACTTAATTTATCTGATAAATGTCTACAACCTGAAATCAATTCATATTCCCTTTTGTCAAACAAATTGTTAATTTGTTCAACTAAAACTAAATTCAACCTAAACCTTTCGAATTTAGAAGGCTTCCAATACCAATGTGTATACTTTATCTAACTAGATTTTAATAGAAATATTTATTTTGACACCAATCCAAGTGAATACGACACGAGAATAAATTGATCTCTTTTGGAGTGAAATTTACTACCACTAAAACTCATTCGTCAAGTAGGACTTTGTCAATAGATTATACGGAGTGCTCATTATACACACAGATAGGCTTTTATGTTATAAAATATTCGGGTTTGAGTCGGGTCGGGTAAAATTATAAACCCACACCCGACCTGACCCAATGTCGGGTTTGGGTAAAAAATTTCAGGTCGGGCTCAGATTATTTTATTCTCGGTTCAGGTTCGGATATTTTAGTGGTCGGTCGGGTCGATTAAGCTCGGGTTCGGGTTGAATTGTCATCCCTAGAAATCAACATATCTATTGCACTGTCTTAGTTAAACCCATAGCTTGTGAGGTTTTAGTTTGTAATGTAGTGAGCATTTTCTGTTTAATAATAATGAATAGGCTATGCTATAGTGATTGGAAGACATCTTAAATTTGTATAAATTAATTCTTCTTTAGAGTAAATTTAGGAAATAATGAATTTTCTATAATTACGATTTCAAATTTAACAAAATGCATCTAAGGAAAAAAATAGCATAGGAAAATAATAATTAATGATGATCTGCAAACATTTACATCTATATAGATTTTGTTTTGTTTGACTAACACCAGTTTTAAGTGAACTATAGCTTACAATAAATTCATGTATTGGACTATAAAATTATTTTAAATATTTATTTGTTACTCATTATGTCTTAGTTTTAGGATTCATTTTATTTTTTTGGATATATTTCTTAAAATCAATTAATCATACATTTTGAAGTATTATATAAGTTTATATAAAATAAACATTTTATATAAACTCATTATAATATTGGAAATTATAAAAGAATAAAAAAAGAAAGCCTATTTTAGGACAAAGAGAGACTCAAAATCATTTAATAAAAAGAGATTTATGGATGTATATAATAATTTCGTTACTCTATATTAGCATGGGGATACCAATATATGACAACTCGAGTTACAATGTACTGTATGGACGTATATTTATGATTTCGTAATTTTTTGCCCATTTTGTACTCATTCCTCGTGTTATCGAAATTTTTTGACCAAATTTTATATTATGCACAATTTTGGGGGTGTATGTAATAATTTCGTTACTCCGTATTATATTTGTCATTTATTAAGATTTAATTAGGAGTGCAATTAAAAATCAAAAAAAATTCTTCTATATAACTTAGGAAATTCCAAAGACAGAAATAATATTTTTACATAGTGGGTACTGATAATTAGAAAACGAAGAAGATGATATAAAAACATTACAAATTAAATGACACGTGTATATGACAAAAAATTGAATGTTACAACATATTTCAAATATTTTGGAACACTTCTTTTAATTAGTAGTATGCTCCCATTATTATCATTGTTGCAATTAAATTATATTGACTGGGAGTATAGTTTACGTGCAATTTAATTATAGTTTGAGAGAGTAAATTATGTTCATATAATTCATCCATGTTTTTATGATCTAGTAAATATTAATCCCACACATACTCTCCTTCTTTGAGTATTTATCTATATGTACATATTTGAACATTGTCCATCACATTTTGTAAACTTTGACCTCAAATTAAATAAAAGTGAAATTGTAGATTTTGTATAGATACAAAAATAGTTAAGTAAATTTAACTTATCAAATATTGTCAGATTTTTTATCTAATTAATACTCCTTCCGTACCCAAATATCTCACAAATTTTTTTCTCTCACCTGTCGATAACTTTTGTTTGTTTACGCGATTTCATTAATTATTTAATAAAATAAAATATTTTTGTCACCTCTTATTTTATAAAATTTTTGACATGGTTTTTTAGTATGTAATTTTTATTTCTTATTGATATACTGATTTGTAAATAAAATGATTTCAAAAAATGAGATATTTCTCCTTGTAAATCTCAATTTGTAATCAAATTGCGGACAAAGGGAATATAAAATATATATTTTTATTTAATCATAAGTAAAATATTGAAAATTACTCCGTATTTGATAGAAAAATCAAAACAGAATAAAAATTCTGGACGAACAATAATCTCATCGGAGAAAAGTCCTGGTTTATAAGATGAGCTGTTAAAAATCGGCCCATCCGTCTATCCTTACTCATGACCCAAATAATAATTTTCCAGGCCCAATAGGTTTTAACATAAAACCTATATCCCCTAACTTAATTCCCATTTCCGCCGCTACGGCTTTCTTTCTCAGCCCTTCGTCTCCACCTGCATATCGCCTATCGACGAAACCCGTCTGCTTGAAATTAGTCGATGCATATATGACTTTATGCTCTATTGTTTTTATTTTCATATCGTTTTTTGGATGCTCATCCAAGCGCTGTTGTCCCGCGGCCCTCTCCCGGAAGCCGATTTTAAGTCCATCTTGAATGTCGTCACAGAAAAATCTCCAGGTTCCCACCCTTTTCTTCATGTTTTTTTATCTCTAAATAATCGCTTCACTTGTACATATTCAAGCGATTGAACTGGTTTTCACTCACATCGCTCCAGAAAGATTATCATTTTTCAATGTTCTGGTAGAAAAGGTGCAAACTTTTACTGGATGTGTAAAGAAATATTGTTTCCATCCAGTCCTTAGTGCTGTTAATTTCGGAATATGTTCAATATGATAATTGGAATTGAGTTTAATTGTCAATTTAGTTCATCTGATTTATAAATATATAATTTTCGAATATATATATATATATATATATATACATATATATATATATATACATATACATATATATATATATATATATATAAATGCATGGATGTATGTATGTATGTATGTATAATTTTCAAAATTATATGTATATATAGCTAAATCATAATTTAGTTTTCATGTACACTGGGTTTTAGTTGTCATGTACATCTCACTATTGTGATGATATGGATCGAATGTAATCATCTGGCTTTATAAAATTTCATTCGCCTATTATGCTTTTTTAACACTGTTAATCAAAACCTCTTTATTTAATCGTTTATATTTTATGTTCTTTATAAGTTATTTATATTCATTTCGTTGAAGGAGAACTTGAGGAATGAAGTTTTTAAATTCGTCGTGTCGGCTATCTTCATACATTGTTTGGGTTGGAATGAGGTCAATATTGCATTTCAAATCTTGAGATTTTTTTCGTTGATCCCTTGCTGGTTTTTTTTACTTTTTTTGTTTATTTAAGTTTATGTATTTTGATTTGTGAAATATAAAATCGAATTCAAAAACTGAATTCAAAATTTTTGTCTGCAATTTATGCTGGATGAACTTCACCTGTGGCTTATGAAAGACAATCAATTAGTGTTTCCCCCATTCTATTTCAGCTTGGCTATATGCATTTTAATTCAATTGTCTAGCAAGAATTTGGCTGACCCGAAGGTGCAAAATCAGAAATGGCTTCTATTTCTTCTTCGAAGAACCTCTTGCTACTGAGAAGAATAGTATGGAAAACATTTAGGCATCCGCTCCAATCATGTTATTCACCACGACGGTCGTATCTGTCCTCATCTTTGTCCTCATGTTTGTCTGCTGTGTATAGTAATGCTCGAGACCCTTCAAGCTATGGATCCAAATCATTTGTGTTTAACCCATCTAATAGCATCTGTTCCCATGCTTCTCCACTCAATAAGGGATCTCAAGGTCCAACAACCACCGATTACCAGTAAGTGCTCAATTTATTCTCTCCTCCTAATACTTCTTACTTGTGGGTTATTTATTTGTTTGGTTGATGAAATTTTGCGAAAACAAGTACATAGATTAGTATGGATACAAAATATGTCGGAAGCATGGTCCGGTAAAATTTTATTTATGTGGGAAAGAAATAAGACATTAATTGACAAGTTATATGTCCAACTTTGTAGCAGAGCCCTTACACAAACATATATATTATATGAACTCTCTAGTAGATGCATATTAGAGTCCACCAACGGCAACGAGTTGTAATGGTTGCAACTTGCAAATACAATTACTACATACAAATGTTAATTCGTTAATGCCTCAAAGGATTACAATTTGAATTAAGAGGTTGTAGTGATTTTAATTTTAAGGATGGTGTTCATATTGTTATTGCAACTGTGAAATTTCAGCTTATGAAGCTGCATGTATAGTCAGGTGCGGTTTGTGTTCTTGTGTATAATATTTGTTGATTCTAGGTTTTGTGGCATAAATAATAGAATGAGGTTCAGCCACATTTTGGCATGTTACATCAAGTACAATGTCCTTCAATAAAAGTTTCCAATTACACTTGTAATGCTTTTTTGAGACCCTCTCGTGAAACTTTCATAAAGTGTGTACTTTACTTTTTTTGATATATATTCATACTCCCTTCGTCCCAAATAAACGTTCACAAATTGACTTCATTGAGTTTAAAAAAAGATATGAAAAGTGAAAAGTGTGTGATAGGAATTTCTTTGGAGAGAAAGATTGTGAGCCACATATTTAAACCCTTAAAAGGAAATGTATGAAGTGAAGTTATTTTAGGACTACCAGAAAAAGGGAGTGTAAAGTTTGATAACCAATGAGTGTTTTATTTCAAAATCGAAGAAGACAAGCTTGGAAATAGACTCTCTATTTTCAAGTAGGGGTAAGGTTTTAGTACACACCCTCCCCAGACCGTGCTCTTGTGGGATTCTATTGGGTGTTATTTTTGTTAAAGAAGATGACAATGGCTAGAGAAAAGAAGAATGCAATTCTAGGGGATGTGTTCAAATTTTAAAATATTTAAATATAGAGGTAAATAACTCTCTCTAGGTTTATAACCATATGGTTTTCCATTTGGATTGAGTTTGGGTCGTTGTTTCTCTCCATAATGTCACACACCGAGTTCAAGTATGGTAATACTCAATAAAAATAATCACTTTAAAAGTTGTGAGAACAAGTTTTTTCGTTATCTAGAAATAAACTGGCGGAGGATCACGGTGTCTACTATTGTACTAAATTGATATATGTACAGTTTGTTGCTGGAGGAAGATGAGTATCACAGGCTGGCCAATTCTACCATCCATCACCTCCTTGAGAAGTTGGAGGTAATTGTTGAACATTTCTGACACTTGGTTATTGTTTTTTTTGTAGCAATAATATTGTGAATTGTTCATTGTCAATCATTTTCCTTTTGAGGACAGGGATATGGTGATTCAATAGACAGTAATGATTTTGATGTTGACTATGGGGTAAGTAGGACAAAATTCTATTTCATGGTTAGTATATGTTAATATACATACTATAAAGTTTGGCTTCCATTTACAGAATGAAGTTCTAACGTTAAAGCTTGGAAGTTCGGGAACCTATGTAATCAACAAACAAACGCCTAATAGGCAAATATGGTTGTCATCGCCAGTGAGGTACTTACATATTGTTCATCCTTCAAAAATGTCTGAAATTACCAAATGAGCTCATGTCTTGATATTGTGATCGGATTGACCCAAAGGATTGATTGAGCTGAATCATAAAAACAATATTTAGAATACACTTTTAATACGGAGTAATATAAAAGATGTAGTAATATCAATAGGTTGAGAATATGAGTGGCATTACTGGCATTTATCTTTATTTCAGCCTTTACAATAAAAAAAGGTAATCCTGCATTATGTTTTTCAATTGTCAATTGACTCAATTCAGTCAATGGAACCAGTATTGGTTGATGAACGAAAAACGGGTTACCAAGTGGAAACTAAAACTTGTCTTTCTAGAGTTATAATTCTTGTAGTTTTTAATTTGTCTACCATTAAATTTTGGGTAAGGGAGATGCTAAATACGTGCATACATATTCTTGTGGAAACTGCAGTGGTCCGTCAAGGTTTGATTGGGACCAGTTATCCGAAGCTTGGATCTATAGACGAACCAACGAAACGTTGTTCCACGTCTTAGAGACTGAACTAGAAAAACTCAGTGGGGCGCCTATCAGACTCAGTTGAGCTGTTGCAAAGTGCAAACCGTTTCTTGTTTAGGTAAAAGACATGGAGAGTCCCATTTGTCTTGAAGTTCAGTTCGATTGGGTTGTTCATTTGGGTTCAAAATCACAAGGCAGACATTGTGTGTTTACTATTTATAAGGTTAAAATTTAATGAGTTTCTTCTAGACGTATGTTAACCTCATAGAAAGCCCGCTTAAACCATCTGTTTTATTAATTTCACATTTTTTTACTAACATGTTCTCTAGCTGACAATGTAAATTTTTTAATGTGGTTTTTAGATATAAAAATTTATTTTTAAATTGCAGTCTAAATTTCAAAAACATTTAATTAAAATTAAATTTAGTCAAATATTGTAAACAGCAAACTAAATCGAGATAAAGAGGGCAATAGTTACTAAGAATTGTTATGTCCAAGTTAGACTCATCTCGGCCCAATCAAATGGGCTTGTATGCCTATCCACAAAAAGGTGGTGTTACCAAGGCTTGATCCAGCTATGTCTGAATTATACTCGTAGTATCCCCCTTTGTACTATAAGGCCCTATGCCGTTTCCCTCCGTCAAATGGGTCCTTTTTCTGTCACCCTTTTTCCGTCACTTCACACTGTCTGTTCTACTTTCTACCATTTCTCCTTTGCTTCTTGCAATTTCTACACCGCCACTGCCCCACGACCACTGCCACCGCCCCAAGATACCGTCTTCCTCAGCTTATTAATAATTATTAGACTAATTCTTAGACTATTGTTCCTGCAAGAAATATTTTTCACTTTATCCAGGTAATTCTTTCCTCTTTTTCTTTCCTCTTTTTGTTCTTGATTCGTAATAACACGTATAGTCCAATTTAGATTTTGATTAAGTTATTGCTTTGTTCGATTTCATTTTTAATTCAATAGGTAAATCGATACGAAGCTTAGATTTCAGCTTCCAGTTTTTTCTTTGTGGGAACACAACTTTTACTTTCAGTTTTTAAATGCTCAATTCTTCTATGTTTTATTTTAATTTCTATTTCAGTTCCCCCTGTTTAATTTAGATTTTGAAATTTCTAGATTTAGGTTTACATCTGATTGATAATGCTAAATTGAAATTGAATTGGCAAGTTTTAAGAATTTAGGGTTTACCTCTACCTGAAAATTTATTTACTTCTGTTTTGTTTGTGATTAATTGAGCTGACTTTTCTGGTTTGATTAAGCAGATTTGATGTTGAATTTTGTGGTTTGCTTTTGCTTGATAACCCAAAAAATTTCAAAAAACTTAGGGTCTTTAAATTTCTTTACCTTTACTGCTTTGGAAAATTTATAATTGAGGCCGCTACATTGTTTTAAAATCCCAACCAAAACATATTGACATTCTTTATTTATCTCTTGTTCTTTGCTCTGTTTTTTGGAATAATGATAGTTTAATCGTAGAAGGAATAGAGGGAATTGTTTGCTACTTTGCTCTTTTCTAAGCTATTTGATTTGGATCCAAAATATTGTCAAACAACTTTCCGAAAGAAGGTTATGTGAACAAAAAATTATTCTGATGGTCCATTTTCAAAGTAACTCCATCGGACATGCTTTCATTGACAATAAAATAAAACCTCTATTGTATTGAAACATAAAAATTTCAATAGATTTATTTTTTGAAAAATTTCAAATATTATTTTAAAAAAATTGTACAATGATTATTACTTACTAATTTGCCTGGCTCTATTCTTATGCATTATTTGTACTAGTATTACTACAACTACACATTTGTTTTTACTCTAAATGATGGCCATCATTGGGCATGAAGTCCCCCCCCCCCACCCACCAAACCCCCCACTGCCTCGCCCACACTTTAACACAATAATATTTTGACCACATGTGAACAAAACATGAAAACAGAAAAGAACAACAAAGAAAGGCATTTGAAGATTTTTTTGCTCTTTGTTCCTGCAATTTATTTTAACATGGTGCAGTTCTTTTCTGTTGACACTTATAATCTCATTCTGTTGTGTTTCTGCAAATGTGTTTTAGTTTTGAGGAAAACACACTTTACCAGAGCCAAAATGTTTTACTCCGCATAAAACAACCAAATATCTCGTTGAAGACGATTAGAAGATGTAATGGTGTACAGTAAGCCAGGTAAGTAACAAAGTCAAATAAGCAACAAATCAGATGGGCAACCAAGAATAGATGGAAATTATTTCACAAATCTATGACAACACCCAAAGATTTCGAGGGATTTAGCCATTTGGGTGCAGTGGAATAGCCGTATGAATCAAGCATCTCGATCATGCGCAAAGAAAAAAAGAGTCGGATTGATTTTTTTTTTTAAAAATCACTATTTCTCCCTTATATTAGGCACTTATCGCACTTTTTCCCTTGGGCACTTATCGCACAAAGTGCGATAGTAGCTAGTCATAGATATAAACATCTAAATAAAAGGTGAATTAATTATAAGTGCATGCAAAATAATTGCAATAAAAGTATGCCTAGGGTACAAGTGTGTTATAGTGCTTAATTGTGTCTCGTAATTTATTCACATAATCACATGAGCATATAATATTGTACCGTGTACATAATTAAAATACCAGAAAATTACTCACGGGTGATGCGAGTTTTGTTGAAATAACTCTCAGGTCCCTCTATTTTCAAAAAGACAGCAGAGGTCCTTACATTTTGTTGTAATGACTGGAAGGAGACATTTCATCTATAAATGTTAATAAATGTATCTTTTTCCTATTCTTTTCTAAATTTTTAAGGTAATAAATCTTAGGTCGCTCCTTTTTTTATTTCTTTGTTTTTCTTTCATTTTGTTAGTATTTTTTTAAAGTGTTATTTTAGAATTTCTTCTATAAAATCGTATAAAAATTCAAAATTGTTTGTATTATATTAAAACAAATGAAATAAAAAAAATTTAAAAAAAGAAAAAACAAGGTAATGGCAAAATAGGAACAAAAAAGTATTGGAAAAATAGGAAAAAAATTCATTTATTAACACTTACGGATGATGTATTGGATGAAATGTCCCCTCTCAGTCATTACAACAAAATATAAGGACCTTGGTTGTCTTTTTGATAATAGAAGGACATGAAAGTTATTTCTACAAAACTCGCGTCACCCGCGAGTAATTTTCCGATTAAAATACACAATTTCGAGTTGAGCTTGGATTTTATGAACCTAATTATCAAACAAGTGTTTCTTATTACCTTTATTTCCCTTTGGTGTCATCAATCCGGAAGCATAATCTTCTGCACTCGTGCTTGTCCCCTTTTGGCGCATCTCTCTAAAGTGAAGAGTTGACTACACCTCTTCTAGAGATGTGTTGTCTTTATTAACGATGAAATATTGTATAAAATTCTTGTATGAAAGTGACAACGAGAATAAAAGAAGAAATGCAACATTATCACCATTCACCTTTTTCTTCATTATTGTACATATTCAACATAGTCGTGTTTAATTTTAATAATTTGTTAAACTGATCTTTGAGAATCATTCAGTTCGTCAATCGTAGGGTGAACAACTATTGCTTTAGCATCGCTTGCGAGTAAGACTCTTTGTCACGTAGAGGCTTTCTAACTTGAGCCACCAAGTGATAGCCTTTCTTTCCCTGCAACCGACATAATCATGTCGTGTGACAAACACAACATGATGTTTGTATGCCCTCTCTATCAATTTGTACTCCATTGATGCAACATCAATGCCTCCCTTATCGGTGGTCAAAGGTGTCTATATGCCTTACCTTTAGAGCAAGGCCTCCATCTTGATCTTCCACTGATGATATTCTTTCGTATAAATTTCTCGATCTTCATAATATATTCGAACATTGTTCTTGGTAGAGTATTTGTAATTAGTATTTGTAAAAAAATTGATGACTGCACTAGATCCTTAGCTGATTCTGCACCTCCTTCGCACAGATGAAAAAAATCAGCACGCTGCTACGATTCTCTGTTGCGGTTTTTCTCCCTTACACGCACGGTTCTCTAAGGCAGCGGCATTCCTTGGGTTCCTGTTGCGCTTCAACTTCTGATAAAAAAACAGGGCAGCAATGTTCAAACTTTTAGAACGAAAGGGACAACGGCTCTGACGATCTGGAGGGCGGCGGAGAGATCTAGAACGTGGGCTGACGGTGGCAGTGGCTTTGATTTCTCTATGTGCATTTGAAGAAGAATTGGCGGCAATTTGTGTTGGTTCATATAAAAAAAACTAGGTGACTATTGCAACCTGATACCATTTTTTAAGAACACGCAACCTCACATTGACATCGGAAATATTAAAACACACAATTTAGCAAAGAACAACCTTTATTTCACAAGAGAAGCCAAATGCAACAGATGCGCATCACAAACTATAGACCTCATAAAGGTACTATTTATACTACTAAGAGACCCACTATCTCATGTTCCTATTACAACTAGGAATCATATTGACGGTTACCTTTACAAGCTTCCTAATCTAATCGACATTGACTTTTTAGTTCAAGTCATATTTGCTAACAACTACATTAAAGGAGATAGAGCATGCAAAACTTGTCTCGCCAAAGTTCTCAACATATGACTTGCAGAAAGAGGGAGAGATTAATGTTCCTCATAAAAGTTAAACAAAAATCTTGCAAACCCGTTTATAAATCTTTACCTAGAAATAGTTTTGAGCAGCTCACTCAGAAGATCGGACTCCATAGAATGAAAGACATCAATTAGTTCAAGAGGATACATTGTATACACTATACAATTTTTCCTTTGACTAAGATTTCACCCACCGAGTTTCCTTAGCAAAATTTTTAGTACATGCCCTGAAGAATGGAGACAACAGTATCCAATAGTATAATGTTGATAATGTATAATGAATGATGACATGTCCAAGAAGAGTGTTAAATATTTTGAATATAATTGTTGTTTGGGAGGCTTTTTTTGTTTTTAATACATGAAAAAGTTATTCTTATCCATTTGTATGTATATATGTATGGCAGTTAGTTATGAATAACATTTGTCACTTTGACAACAATTAAATTGATATATATATGTGTGTGTGTGTATGTATGTATGTATATGTATGTGTGTGTGTGTGTGTATATATATATATATATATATATATAGATTTTGGTTCAGGTGAGAATGCAATCTAATGAAAGAAATAAGAATGAATCTGCTGCATTAGATTGGGAAATCTAAGGGTTAGAATTGCATCAAAATTAGGTGCACCAAGATGGTTTGAAAATGCATCATGTCGAAATGCACCATAATCCTTTGAAAATGCACTATCTCAAAATTTGAGTGCAGAATGCAATCTGAGCCGCACGATGCATCAGATCCAAAGGCCAGATTTTATTCTTATTTCTTTCACCAAGCTGCATTCTCACTTGAACCAGCCCCTATATATATATATATATATATATATATATATATATATATATATATATATATATACCGTGCCGTGCCGGCCGGTACCGGAACGGTTCGCCCCCCCCCCCTTTTTTTGCTTTTTTTTTAAATTTTTAAATTATAAAATTGTAAATTTGCAATTGTTTAAAGAAAGAATGAAATAAAAAATCTAAAAATGTAGTTGTTATTTAAATATTGAAAATGAGTAATACACTAACTGAAGAACAACCACATTTAATATCCTGACGGTTCAAAAAAAGCGACGAGGTAAAGAACCGTAAAGAAACCCTCGAAGGAGCTTATATATCGCTCACCTAAAAAAATTAATTACATATTTACATTAACATAAAAAAAA